GCGTCGCCCTGTCTCTCTCGCACTCGTGGGGCGCCCCCTTCGGGTGCGAGGGAGACAGAGCGACGAAAACGAGTCTCGGAATCAGTCTGCGGCCAGGCGCGGATGCAGGGAAAAAGAGGTTGGGCTGGAAAGGGGGTGGAAAGGCGCACTTTGCTCCTGTAAGCGGGCGACTTTTGCTACATCACCACACGTCACATTTCAGCGTAAAACGTACGACTAGTAAGTGTCCCCTCCCGGCTGTATGCGAGAGGGAGACAAACTCGAATTTTGGTGAACGTTTCACGTTTCTTTGAAATAACGTGAAGTTACACGGTAAAAACGGTCTCTGGTTTTCCTTGGAGCTCCCTGGACTGGAAAACTCCTGTCTCTACCATAGGCTTCCTGGGAAAAGCAGATTCCGTTTTTGACGCGTACTTAAAATAACGTTGTGGTAACGTTGAGGTAACGTTGAAATCACGTAAAATACCCATGAAATGACGTTGAAATAACTTGAAATACGAATACCTTTAGAGAAACGTGAAATGCCCTTGAAAAACGTGAAATATCCTTTAAGAATAACAGGAAAAGTAGCGATATACATCGGCAACTTTGGCCCGTCCCGTGTTACATTAAGAAACGTACGAATTTTGCCTATGTTTGACCCTTACGGGAATTAAACCTGAGTCTGGGGTTTAAATAAATGTCGTTTTCATCATCAGCAACCTCAAAAACATCAGAAACAATGCAAAAACTAGAATAAAAAGAATGTTCCAAAAATACCCCGCTGGGATTTGAACCCGGGTCCGAACTTCTCCGATTCGCTCGAAACTGGTACCATTGGTTTTTTCTCGTCGCCCCGATTCCAAAAATACCCCTACATGCCCTCCTAGCTGCATCCGTTGCCGAGATCCTCCTCGACCCCATGTAGACCATGGTGCACCTGCAGCAGCGCCCCCGGGGCTCGGATCGGATTTGCTGCCACCGGGCGGTTCTTAGGGTCACCCAAGGAGGCTGCATACCAAATTTGGTCAAGATCGGACCACGGGAAGTCCTCGGACGGACGGACGGACGAACGAACGAACGGACGCACAGCAAGGATCATACTATATGCCCGTCCCTCCGTCATTTTTTCACAAAAAATAAACGGGACGGGCCAAAAACGACCCTTGAAATGACGTTGAAATAGCGATGAAATATCCGGAATTTTAAATGACGGTGTGCTGAATTTTTCGAAGTTGTGTGCCCCTTGGCTGTGTGCGTGCGTCTGCTGCCGTGGCGGTCACAGTGGCGTGCCCGGCGTCGGCGGCACCAATGTGCGAAAGCTGGAACGGTGGCCGGCAATGCCTAGCTGCGCAAACTAGCATGTTTTGGCGGCGGCAAGCACTGCGCTCGCGGAATTGCACACAATGCAGCTATTTTCGGCCGCCACCGACACAGCAGAAAAAAAATCCCCAATGAGACAAAACAGAAAACAATGCGCGCGGCAAGAAAAAAAGCAGGGAAGGGGGAAGTGAAATCACGAACATACATGGAAAGCATTTTGCCGATTCCATTACCAGCGTGCCGTCGCCAGCAGCCTGCGTGTGTAGCCGGGCAAAGGAACAAAAGGAAGGACAACAACAACACGCGGAAGGAACACCGCGCGGGGCCCTTGAGTTAAATGCTACTCTCGCTTCCCAATTTCACAATTGCAGACTGACTCCGAGAGTCGTTTTCGTCGCTCTGTCTCTCTCGCACTCATGGGGCCTCCCGTATACGTGCGAGCGAGTCAGAGTGAAGAAAACGACGCTTGAAATCAGACTGCTGTGGCCCGCGTCATGAATAAGGAATTAACCGGGTACCAACAATGACGGAAAACGGGAGGGAGGGGGGAGGAGGAGAGGGTTTCTGGGGTGATGACGGTGAGAGGAGTGATGAGTGGTGAGAGAGAAGGGGTGGTGAGGGTACGGGGGTGTTGAGGCCGACGGGGGTGTTGGGGCGACGGCGTGTTGGGGGCGTAAGGGTTGTAGAGGGCGACAAGGATGTTGGGGGCGACGGGGGTGTTGGGGGCGATGGGCTGTTGGGGGTGACGGGCTGTTGAGGGTGTTGGGGCGAAGGGGACGTAGAGGGCGACAGGGATGTTGGGGGCGACGGGGGTGGGGGTCGCTTTTCTATTGGGCCGATGTGGGCGTCCGGCCGATAGGGCCGCTGGCCACTGGGGCAGCAAAGTAACCGGGCGGCCACGCCACGAAGGAGGGCGCGGCCATGGCGAGGCCGTGCACCACGCCATCACGGCCGCCCTGGTAACCCTGGCCATCCTCCTCAAATCCGGCCGATAAGAAGGGCGCCCCGATACAATGGCGCTGTAAACGCACTGCATGGCGGCGGGGCCCGGCCAGGCACAGCCAGGCAGGGCGGCGCGATAGTGCATTTTTAACACCGGCCGGCAGCGCGCTGCAGCGGCGGAGGCGGCGGAGTACGTCATCAGGGCGGTGATGCTGCTGCCCCCCTCTCCACACCCACCAACACACACACACACACACACACACACACACCACACACACACACACACACAAATACATACAAAGATACACCAACTCTCTCTCTCTCTCTCTCTCTCTCTCTCTCTCTCTCTCTCTCTCTCTCTCTCTCTCACACACACACACACACCAGCATTACAACGTGCAGACATAACTCGTAACAATATGTTTTGATCATACGACTATCTTCAAAAATGGATTCGATAAACTCTAAATGTGTTACGGTGAAAAGGCTGCAGCATTAGAATGTGAAGACTTTATCCATCATTCGAAAGCAATTTGTCAACAGGTAATTCATCGAGTTTAGAGTTACAAAGTGACTAACACCAACGTATCATGGAAAATCTTCACCGCAATATGGGGGCATCTTCGCCGTGAGACTTTGACAGTGAACCAAGCAGATGCGGGCACCGACGGAATGAACGCGAAATCTGCTGGTGCGATCGCGGGTACGGTTCGAGTCGTATTCCAGGAAACAGCGGCGCTCCAATCATCGTCTCTCGACGGAAAAGTCCGAGGCGCCTCGCACAGTGGGCCAGAAGACCGGTGGAGGCGGCCAAAACTCGAGACGCGGTTTGAGCTCCAGAGTCGCTAAGTAGGACTCGAACAGAACGTGTGACCCCACCAATGGAATCCTCGTTCGAAGAGCAATCCATTGCTCGGTCCGAGTCCCATTTAGCGACTCTGGAGCTCAAAACGCGTCTGGAGTTTTGGCCGCCTCCACCGGTCTTCTGGCCCACTGTGCCTCGCCGCGCCGCTACAGTGCGGCGGCGGCCTGCGCGGTCGCGTCAAACTCGGCCGCGCCAGACGGATCCAATTCCCCGCGGACTCGCAGACGGCAGAGCCGTCTTCGTCGCTCTGTCTCTCTCGCGCCCGTGAGAACGCCCCAGGAGTGCGAGAGAGACAGAGCGACGAAGACGACTCTCGGAATCGGTCTGCAGCGCGGCACAGCGAGAGCCAAGGCCGGGGCTGCAGCCGCCTGGCTTTTAATTCAAACTCGCGCGGCTCTCGTCCGTTTCAGAGGCGGCGCCCTGCACTTTAATGTAAAGCTAAAGGAAGGTTGTAAAAACGGGATACAAACGCGTTCAGCCGTGGGGGGGGGAGGGGGAGGCTGGTCGCGAGTTTACGACGAGGGATCATCGTAGACGGTATGGTTGCCATCAAAGAAGAGAAGTCGCCCGTGTGTGTGTGTGTGTGTGTGTGTGGTGTGCGGGTGTGAGTGTATGTGTGTGTGCGTTGAAAGGAAGAGATAGAAAAGAGCTCCGGCTGGATCCAGCAAAGGTAAAGCGATACTCCACGCGCGGAGGCAGGACGCCAGGAACAGTAAGGAAGAGATAAAATTGAAAAAATCCACTCACGGCGAAGAAAAAAAGAAAGAAGAAGAAGAGAAAGGGAAGGAGCGCGGAAGAGGTGCGGCGGGGGTAAAGCGGCGAAAAGGATGGCGAAATTCGGCGAGGGGCTGCCGGCGCTTTCGGCGGCGGGATCACGGGCCGCCTGGCGCCGCCCGGGGCACTTAAAATTCGATTCAATGGACAGCGAGGTTGATAGGGCGCTTCGCGCGAACGGCACCGTCAAACGGAGTGGCCACGCGGCACTGCACTGTGGAAAGTTTGTTTGCCACTTCATGGCAGTTTCGAGGCTAATTTTCCTTGTAGGGATGCCGACACACCAGTTGGTGACACTGGACACACTTCTAAGGCTCATGCAATGGGGTAGGAGCATTGTGGAAATGATATCAATCTGCTCCAGAAACTGAAGAGAGTGCATGGCATACTTCCCCAGGGACCGTTCAGAATTCACAGTAACTTACAGATAATTTGACGAATTTTGTTGGTATTATGGAGAAAATCTCCACCGTAATATGTTGGTGCAGCCTTCCACCGTAAGACATTTACAGTGCTCCATCCTTGGAGCCTGCTTGCAAGCACGCTCTACCCAGAAGCATGCTTGGCAAGCACGCTCCACGGTGGAGCATGCAAGCATTCTCCAGGATGAAGCGTGCTGCGTCGCTGTTGCAAGGCCTCCATCCTCCATGTCAAGGAAAAGGCATGCTTTCATCCTGGAGCGTGCTTAGAGGCATGCTCCACCGTGGGGCGTGCTTGCAAGCACTCTCTTCGGTCGAGCATGCTTTGAGGTTGACTCCGTGGGGGGGCATGCTATGCACTCCCCTAAGTTTTCAGAGTTGTCATCATTTGAAGGGGATGAGATTGTCACCATATGAAAGTAATGAAATCGGCATCGTTAGCAACTCTCAACGCGTTTTGAGCTCCAGAGTCACTAGGACTCAAACCAAACGTGTGACCCCACCAATGGATTCCTCGTTCGGAGAGCAATCCATTGGTGAGGTGGCACGTTTGGTTCGAGTACCACTTGGTGACTCTAGAACTCCAAACGCATCCGGGGTTTGGACCGCACCCGCCAATTTTTGGCGTTCCTTTTTGCCACGCCATAATTTGGCCATGTGTCCGACCATTACGTTTTCAGTGACTGTGGTGTCCTTACCTGGACCTCCAGCTCGAACCCCGGCAGGTAGGAGAGCGGCGCTGGGTGGAAGGGCGAGTCGAAGGGCGACGTGTGGAACTCGAGCAGCATGCGCGGCCCGGAGCTCACGATCTCGGGCACCGCGTCGCCGCCGCACATGCGCACCAGCACGGGAGAGTCCTTGCCGCCGCCGTCGTACACCGTCAGGTAGTCCTGCACCACGTTGCACTGGTCCCACACCCTGCAGACACAGAAGAGGAGGACAAGTGGCGGTTAGAATTTTTATTTCGGTTTTGCGGAGCACCGTGCAGGCAGAACTGCGCCGAAAACTACTGAGTGTACGCATATAGCACTTAAGTGTGAACTGAGAACCCGCAAAGAGCACAAAACTGAGTTACGCCTGGAGGACACAAAATTGTACCACCGTCACACTCGTGTGAATTTTGTTAAAATTCCCGCACCTCTAAAAGTTGAAATTATGAAAACGTATTCTGATATTCATGGCCTGAGTTCTACAGAATGTCAGAAGAAGTTTTCAGCTTTCAGAGGTGTGCGAATTTTGATCAAGGTTTCAGACAGGTTTCTGACATTCTGAAAAAATTCACACTCGTGTGGATGTGCTTTAAACTGCCGCCGAATTCGAGGGACTGAAAAAACCACTATGATATGTGTATACACGACGTGGCAGCGACGACGTCCAGCAAAATTAGATTTCGCACGCACAGATTTCATGGGCCCTAGAACCAAAGTGGCCGTAGAGTTGGGAACAGTGGTTATTTTCAGTTTTTCTGCTCCGCTCGGTTCCGTTCTTTTACGAGACGAAAAGTCATTGCACCGCACTCGGCCGAATGGCAATGGCCGAAGGCGGCGGCGAGGCCGAAGGTGAATGCGAGAATTAAAAGCTACAAACAATTAGAAGCAGCGCCTGCGAGATGTTAATTAAAACGCCCCCCTCGCCTCCCCCCCCCCTCTCTCTGTCTCTCTCCCGCCCCCGGCGGCACGGCCTCGGCCCGGCTCTGTTATTCCGATTCTTGCAGCCATTATAAGCATGCTCGTCCCTAAATGCGGCGCCGCTCCATACAGCCGTTGCATCGCGAGCGCAGCGCCGCACAGTGGGCCAGAAGGCCGGTGCGGTCCAAACCACGGACGCGTTTTGAGCTCCAGAGTCGCTAAATGGGACTCGAACCGAACGTGTGACCCCACCAATGGATTGCTCTTCGAACGAGGAATCCATTGGTGGGGTCACACGCTCGGTTCGAGTCCTGTTTGGCGACTCTGGAGCTCAAAACGCGTCCGGAGCTTTGGCCGCCTCCACCGGTCTTCCGGCCCGCTGTGCGACACCGGCCTCGGCCTACAGTGCAGGCGCAGCTAGCCGGTGCCGGCCGTACCGAGCAGCTGCCTCCGATAAATTGATTAAACGAAACAATTAATTGGCCGTGCCGGATGGAGGCGGCGGTGATGGCAGTGTGGAGGCGGTCAAACCGGCCGGCGGACTGGCGGGGCTGGCTGGGCCGGCGAGGCTAGACGGCACGCTCCACCCATTACGGAAAGACCCTGGTAATTGCTAACCGATACACCCGAGGACCCCCCCCCCCCTCAAATTCGGCGCCTACACCCCACCCCCACCAACCGCTCAACCTCATCCAGCGTCCCGGCGGAATCGACACCCTCAGGGTACTGAGCGCCCGCACTGTGCGGACGCTGCCCGACCCCACAGTGGGCCACAAGACCGGTGGAGGCGGCCATAACTGCACACGCGTTTCGAGCTCCAGAGCCGCTGAGCAGGACTCGAACCGAACGTGTGATCCCACCAATGGATCCCTCGTTCGGACAGCAATCCATTGGTGGGGTCACACGTTCGGTTCGAGTCCTACTAAGCGACTCTGGAGCTCAAAACGCGTCAAGAGTTTCGGCCGCCTCCACCGGTCCTCTGGCCCACTGTGCGCTCCCTCCCTTGCCCCACCCCCTCAGGGTTGCCCGTGGCTGGCCAGCCTTAATTCTGAATGAACACCGCATGAATATGTGCGCCGCACGATCTGACGTGTGCTCGTCGCCTGCTCGCGGGGCGGCTCGGGAGAAGGGGGCGGGGAGGGGGCGGTGCGGCTGGGGAAAAGGGGGTGGGGGAGGGGGAGGGGGCGTCAGCGGCAAGTTGCCGTACAACGACACACTGCAAACCGTCTCTAGGCGTGTTGGGTCCTCCTAAGTCGAGATGGCTTTTGTGCCAAGTCGAGTAGACAATGAAACGCCCGCTGTACCACTTTTTATAAACAACCACGTATCTTGGTCGGAGGTTGTACCTGCCTCGGTTGACAACTCGAGTAGGCTAAATATCCTACTCGACTTGGCGTCGGCCTCGCGACTAGGCTAAATTTCCCTGACTAGGCTAAATGTCCATCTCGACTAGGCTAAATGTCCTTCTGGGCACCCACCACTGGAGCCCTCTGGTGGGCTAGGGCCAAACTAGGACCCCCCTCCACTCCGCGCCCCCACTGCACCGTGCAGCCGCCAGATCATGCTATGTGCGGTGCGCGTCGCTGTCCCCCCAAGAAGGACCGGTGGCGCAGGGGTAAACCCTCGCGCACTGACGCGGCAAGTCCTTGGTTCGCCTCCCGCTGTCGGAGGCGAGGGACACATCTTTTGACGCGATGTCTTACTCGACTAGGCACAATTTGTCCTAGTCGAGCACGCGCAAAAGCCAACACATCTTGCCTGCCGAGTAGCCACTTCTACAGTTCATTGGTTTTTTGACAAAGAGGCGTAAGTCCACTGAACCAAATTTTTCAGGACGGCCAAAAAACATACTGTTTTTAGCTTCTAAGATCTATAAATTCCCACACAACACTCAAATTTTTGTGACAAATTCTTTGAGAAAGTGTGCATCTTTTGGTAAAAATCTCATGTGTGTAACTCTTCTGTAACTCCTGCAATGTTAGAAAAACCCTTCAAAATGAGGTGTGATTTTTGACAAAGAGGCGTAAGTCCAGGTGGTTTTTTGACAAAGAGGCGTAAGTCCAGGTGGCTTTTTGACAAAGAGGCGTAAGTCCAGGTGGTTATTTGACAAAGAGGCGTAAGTCCAGGTGGATTTTTGACAAAGAGGCGTAAGTCCATTAGCCATTCTGACAAAGAGGCGTAAGTCCATAGGCCATTCTGACAAACAGGCGTAAGTCCATAGGCCATTCTGACAAACAGGCGTAAGTCCACAGACTATCCCGATTAACTAGTTATGATTTATAATTAACCACTTACGAATGGCCACAGCTAAAGTGGTGAAAATGGCGAATGTCCACTCATGAGGTCACTGAGTGGTTTGCAACTTGTCAACACTGGTCCAATCAAATAATAATGACTAACGGCTCCTCTCATCTCAATCCCAACAGGCTACAATACATATCTCAAATCGGACTCTTAAATATTTGCAAGGGGTATCAGATCTAAAAGACCAGCATTCTTCGTCACCTAAGTCCGATGACGATGGTGAAACCAGAGTCCGATGACGATGGTGAATGGGGCATATGTCTTCTTAGGCAGCACTTGGCCTAAAAGTCATGGGCCCACCACAGAGTGTGCTACATGGAGGTTATCAGCATGGATGAGTCCAAGTTCTCCCCAGCTGCACAAGATTCATGCGCGAATCACCATCTTCATCGGACTCCGGTGAGGAAGAATGCTGCTCTTTTAAATCTGATTACCCTCGCAAAGATGTAAGAGTCCATTCTGAAATACGCATTGTAAGCCTGATGCGATTGAGATGAGAGGAAACGTTACACTTCAAACCTGTCTACTAAGTACACACTTACAAATGCATGCTTGCAAAACCACACTTACAAACACATGCTTCACGCATGGAGTTATACGGCGCCAGGGATGCGTTTGTTAGTGTGTACATGCAAGCATGCATTTGTAAGTATGTACTTGGCCAAGCATGCGTTTATGTGTACTTGGAAGCATGCATTTTTAAGTGTGCTTCCTAGTAAACAGTTAGGTTTGCACTGTAGTCATTATTATTTGATTGGAACGGTGTTCACAAGTTGCAAACCACTCAGTGACCTCATGAGTGGTTGGTTGAATGGGATGGTCTGTGGACTTACGCCACCGACTTACGACTTAAGGTCCATGGACTTACGCCTGATTGTCAGAATGCTCTATGGACTTACGCCTGTTTGTCAGAATGTTCTATGGACTTACGCCTGTTTGTCAGAATGACCCATGGACTTACGCCTGTTGGTCAAAATGGCCTGTGGACTTACGCCTCTTTGTCAGAATGGCCAATGGACTTACGCCTCTTTGTCAAAAACCCACCTGGACTTACGCCTCTTTGTCAAAAAACCACCTGGACTTACGCCTCTTTGTCAAAAAACCACCCGGACTTACGCCTCTTTGTCAGAAAACGGGTGGACTTACGCCCCTTTGTCAAAAATGGAATGGACTTACGCCCTTTGGACACCTTCTGTATCTTCTGAACTAATTGAGATATTTTCATTTTTCAAAAACCAGTGGGCTTGTTATTTAATTTTAAATTCTTTTCTGGAAAAAAGTGGATTTTGCCAATTTGTGGACTTACGCCCCTTTGTCAAAAAACCAGTGAGTTGTCAACTCCACTTACCAATCCAGTTGCCACTGAATTGCTAACCCGTAGTAAACCTCATGTATACAAGTTGACTAAGCAAAATGTCCTAGAGGCGGTTCGCAGTGCATATGCGCGCCGCGACATGTCTCGGCGAATTGGGGAGCGGCGTCACGCGTCCGGCTAGCACGGTGTTTGTGTGTGTGTGTGTGGTGGTGGGGAGATGGCTGCGCAAGTGGTAGCAATAATGTCAAAAGGCTAATTCATATTAGCTCTGTGCGTCGGTACGAATACTCTGCTAACTCACAGTGGACTGACTCAGTCCACTGTTGAGTACTTTAGTCACTAAGTACCCAGTCGGTACACCCTTCCTCGGGATATTTTGACGAATTTCGTTGGTACTCTGGAGAAAATCTCCACCATTATAAGTTGGTGCAGTCTTTCACCGTAAGACATTTACAGTGTGCGCGCGCATCTCCTCGTTGTACTCACAGAGTAACGCTTCAAAATCCAATTTCTCGCGTGTTTGTCATGGCGACGTTCTGTGCGCGCGGCGAGGGGAGGTTAGCTCACCTGTCGTGTAAGGTTGCCCGCCCCGCCCCGCCACGTCTCCACGGCGTGTTCCGCCTCATTTATCCGGCCCCATCTTTGGCCCCGAACAGCCACGCCGCCCTGTGGATGGGTATCGGGGGGCGGAGGGGAGGGGGGAGTTTTGAAGCAGAACGCACCTGAAATGGCCCTGGAGCCCTGCCAGGATGGGGACTCGCATTGGCCCCAGGCCCGGCTAGGACAGCCCATCCCAGCCCTGCCATGCCGTGCCTGCCTTGCCGTGCCGCACAGTGGGCCAGAAGGCCGGCGCAGCGGCCAAAACTCTAGACGCGTTTTGAGCTCCAGAGTCGCTAAACAGGACTCGAACCGAACGTGTGACTCCACCAATGGATTCCTCGTTCGGAGAGCAATCTATTGGTGGGGTCACACGTTCGGTTCGAGTCCCATTTAACGACTCTGGAGCTCAAAACGCGTCTTGAGTTTCGGCCGCTGCGCCGGTCCTCTGGCCCACTGTGTGCCGTGCCCTGCCCGCACCCGGCCCGCACCCGGCCCGCCCCAACTGCTCGCAAAGTAGCCGCGCCGAAAACTTTTGCTCCGCGACGAAGAGGAAGACGGAGGAGGAGAAGAATCAAAGACCGCGTTCTTTTATTTCCCTAAATGGAATGAAGTCGGCGGATAACCGCTGCCAGCTTGCACGTCGGATTATCAACACGGCATCGGGACGGCGCGTCTGGAGCGCGCTGGAGACTCCATAGCGGGCTGGCTCCAGACCCGTGCGACAACCTCCCCCCTCCACCGGGCTGCCTGTGTTCCAATCGGTTCCGCCCTAGTTGTCCTTAGACTGGTGACTGCAGGCGACCCTACTAACCCGGCCGGCCGGGGGGTCCACCCCGCCCCACCCCGCCCCGCCGCGGCCGTGCCCGCGATGATTCCCTCTTGTTCGCCCCGAACGTGTGCAGTGTCGCCAAGCATGCGCCCCCTTTTCATTCTTTTTACGATATTTGGGCCGCTTTTTTTGCGTTTCCCAGGCGAGCAACACATGGCGGCCGATGCAGTGCTGCGTGCGCCCGATACGTTTCCCGCCACTGCAGACGACGCCCCGCCCACCGAAGGCCCCCTTGTTTCCAAATTCCCGCCCCGGCGCGCGCACCCGTAATGCCAGTTCACACTGTAAATGTCTTTCGGTGAAAGACTGCCCCAACATATTATGGTGGAGATTTTCTCCATAATACCAACGAAATTCGTCAAAATAAGGCACAGTGAATTCTCAATGGTATGTTATGAGGTCAGCTGCACCACCATAACATGGAACATTTTCACCATAATATGGAGAATCTTCACTGTACAACATTTAGAGTGTGCTTTTGGCGCTCTGTCTCTCTCGCGCACGTAGCGGAGCGTGAGAGAGACAGAGTGAGAGCACGCTGTGCGGAATCGTCCGGCTTCCAAACGGGGAAACCCACTTTTGGTTCATCGCGGTCCCGACCTGGATCCAATCGCCCTCCCGCCGCCCCGCAGACTGAACCCTCGCTGAACCTTCGTCGCTCAGTCTCCCTCGCATCCATACGGAACGCCCCATGAGTGCGAGAGAGACAGAGCTATGAAAACGACTCTCGGAATCAGTCTGCTGTCCGTGGCCGTGGCCGAAGCGTGGCAACACAATTACACGCACACACACGCAAACTAAACACACACTCGCCGAGTGCGGCGCGGTGTCCGTTTGTCCCCTTCCAAGTACATTTTGCATTTAAATGACACACGGTTCGCGGGGAATCCGCGAGGGGCCGGGCGGACGCACGGGCAAGCGAAAACGCCAACACACGCACACGTGCAGGGCCCTCTCTGCGGTGGCAGTCCAGTGGTTACACTCTCATTCCAGGAACGTGACATCACGTTGAAACGAACGTGACAAAGTGTCACGTTCGTTTGAGCATTGTGTCACGTTAGTTTGAATGTGAACAAGCTGATTTTTGGCCAATTCACATCCAAACGAATGTGACACAACGCTCAAACGAACGTGACATTTTGTCACGTTCGTTTCAACGTGATGTCACGTTCCTGGAGTGAGAGTGTAGTGCACCTGCTGCGTGCCTCGGCTTGTTGTTAACGCGTGTTCGACACCCGCCGAGGTCCATTTGTTTTGTTTTGATGACTGATCGAAGCAAATTGTGCCAGACGTTTGTGGTGGTAAATCGCGACCAGTCAGTGGCGGATTCAGAGGTGGCCTTTGAGAGTGGGGAAAAGTAGCACCTTTTACCTACATTTTAGGCGGCTATCTATACACTTAGATCTATACACTTGATCAATACCCAATTTTGGGCGAGGTATACTTTATCACCCAAATTTGGGCAAGGGTGGTTTCCTCAACCAAACTTTGGGTCATAATACTATGGGAGCTATAGAGGAAGCTGTTCTCACCCCAATTTGGGCGAAAAAACCTTCCTCGCCCAAAATTTTAGTCATGATCATGACTCTTATTCATTCTCACTGATAGGGTACTGCCCAGCGATGTAGTGGTAAAAAAAAGGTTTGGGAGCGCTCCACGGCGGGAGCGCCTCAATGGGAGCGCTCCCATTGGCCTCAATAGGCCTCAATAGGTAGGGGTTTCTGCACGGCAGGAAGGAAAGCCTGTTGTCTAGCAGGTATTTTCGAGGCGGATGGCCTTGATACTACTTTTAACGCAATGACCTTTCACCTGGTACGGGCTGAAAAAAACTGCGGACGCTTCCTGTCATCCGTGGCGTCTTG